ATGAAGAATCCAGGCTTCTGTTATACTCAACGCTTCACCCCCACCTCGGGGTACAAGATGGCTGCTCCAGCTCTAGTGCTCACATCTTCATTCTCACCAGAGGAAGGGTGAAAATGAAAGAAAGGGTACATGCCTTCTTTATAAAGAGACTTTTCAGGAGCTGTGTATTCATTTCTGCCTACTTCCCATTGGCCAGATTTCATCATAGAGCCACATTTAGCTGCAAAGGAGGCTGGCAATATACAATATTAATTCTAGGCCGTTACGCACCCCTGAGGGTGCCGATGTACATCAAATGCCTCAAAAATATATGTGCACAAGTGTCACTACAGGGTCACTTATAAAAGCTGAAGGCTACAAATAATAACTAAATATCCAATTGTGTGGAAATCATTAAATAAACTGGAGTACATATTCTTTTTTGGGGGGAGTACATATTCTTAATAAAATGATAGAAATCTCTAAAAATAATACTATGGAGAAATACATGATGATACAATAATGCTAAGGGAAAATAATGAATCTACAAAATAGTATGGACAGATGGATGTAAAACACTTGTTACATTCTCTGGATGATGAGATTGTGGATTTTTTTTAAACTTTTTAATCTAAATTTAAAAAAAATACATTTTCCAGAACACTACAAAAACCCTATTTTCCAGTTTGAGGGAAAATACTGTCTTAAAAACACATTTACAAAAAGTGATAGGTAGAATGAACACCATATAGAGTATGATTCCAAACTTGCTTTTTATTATTAAAAAAAATTTTTTGCTACGTACTGCAAGTATTTTTATTCTCACTTTTCAGAGAAGCAAACAGTAGTATTAAGAGTTTAAATTATATCTTCAGTTTCTAATTCAATGTCTCCACACATCAGATGCACTAGATTTTCCAAATTTGCTTTTTAAAAACTGTGTTTAGAGGTAAAGGCTGGATGGATGTCCATGAAATCACTAACAAATGTTATCTTGAAGAAGTTGCATTAAGTATGATTTTGATGTTCCAATCAACATGAAACATGGCTTATTATTATCATCATCATCATTATTATTATTTACTGAGCCCAAGACATGCCAAACACTCTGCTGGGTGTTTTACATGCACCATGACAAGTAATGTCCCAGCAGCCTCCTGAGGTAGACGTTACCTCTATTAACCCATTTTACAGGTGAGGAAATGGAGACAGAGAGGAAAAGCTACTTGCCCAAGCTCAGCCCTGACTCGCTAAGTGATATCCTGATCAGACAGGCAGGCATGGTGCTCGCCTTCGTCTGCAGCAAGGAGGGTTTTTTTTAATTCATCAGAAAGGATCCACCAGGATCTCTCAAGGAGGACAGCCAGTGGGAGAAGAGCTCTTGGGGGTGGTGGCACACAGACCTCTGAGGGCAGCAGGGCGGCACCAGCACCTCGGTGTCCATGCTCCCGGGGAACCCAGCGTGGCCAGTGCAAGGCGAGGAGGGAAGGGAGTCCCAGTCAGGCCCTTCCAGAAATCTGAGACGGTTAGAAGAAGGAAAAGAGGAAGATCCTAGCAGGCAGCAGTCTGGGTGAGTTTGGGAAGAGAATGAGGAATAAGGAACTTAAAGAGTGACATTTGGAGCAGCAGAGCGGGAGCAAATTGCAGACAAGGGGCAAGAGGATTTTAAGAAATGTCAGACCGCCCTGGGGACTGAATCTCCTGCAACACGCAATTACCAGTTAACTACCTCTGGCTTCTGAACTGAGTTTCTCTGAAGATAAATCACATGGGCACCTGAAATATATCTGTGTAATATTTATACTCATCTATATTTTTCTTTATTTAAAAAAATTGCAGTGAGCATGTGATTAATGTTATCATGAGGGAAAAATATACATCTTTTCAGTGTTTTAGAACAACTGTTTCTCAAGATGGAGAATGGTTTGGGGGAGCAGCTACCAGTATCTTTCTCCAGGAGCCCACTGAGATTGCTCATGTTCCGTCTTCCTAGGGCAGCGTTTGCCAGAAGGGAGAGTTCCCAGCACCCAAAGGGTTTGTGGACCGCAGGAGGCACCCAAACTGTGTGTCCCGAAGGAAAGGGAGGCACTTAAACCATTTCAATTCAATTTAGTATCTTTTTTTTACCAATTCTGGATCTGCGCCCCATCAGAGGATAGGGCTCCGTGGCGAGAAGGCTGCTTCTGTTTTGCCCCATCTGTTTATCACCTGAGAATTTCCTCAGGGCGGGATTCCATCTATTTGCCTTAGGGCTTATCCCCTACACCTGACACAGTGCCTGGCACTCAGGCGGCTTTCAATACATGTGTGCTGAGGAATTAAATCAGGGCTAACACCCTGAGAAATGAATCAGTTCTTCCCTAAAAGCCCTAATGTCTCTGATTGGAATTCTTTCTTGTTAAATTTAACTCTACAGCTTGGAAACCCAAGAGTGAAAAACCCAGAGTTGACTAGGAAAAGAACCAATACAACAGAGACATAAAGGGATAGAATAAGCCATGCTACCTCGGCTCTCCTGACTTTTCACTCCTTACTCATTTCCATTTCCTGAGCACGTACTGTGTGCCAGGCACAGCACTGGGATGCTGGAGATACAAACCCTTAACCCAGCCTTGATAATGTGGGTCAATAGAGCATCTGTAGGATTAACCTTATCCTCTAATAATAACAGTTAGAGCCCAGCCCTATGTTCCAGGTATTGTTTGAGGTGTTTTCTGTGTGTTACTCTGTTTCTAGGTAGTGTGACATTATGTTTTACAGATGAGCAAGCTGAGACTCAGAAAGGTCATCTGTTCACGTTCTGCAACTGGTGGGAAGACCAGGCTTAGGTCTCTGCTGTCTGACACCTGTGCTCATGCTCTCAACGGCTTCCAGGGAGCTTCCTGAGAGGCGATCCTCAGATCACTGGCCTCTGAATCACTGGGGATGCTGGATGAAAATGCAGAGTCCAGGCCTGGGGCTGAAGGATCAGAATCCCTGGGAGGGGAGCCTTGGAATCCCCATTTTTCAACCCATTCACCCGGGTGATCAGATTTGCGCTAAAGTTTGTAAAGCACAGCTCTCAGATGTGCCACGCTTACCCCTTGTGAGCTTATGAAATCTCTAGCACCCATCCACCCTTGCCTCCTGCTAACAGATGACCAGACGGATAGACAGGGAGGGAGAAGGGCAAAAAGAGTGAAGGAAGGAGGGAGGGAGGGACCTGCTTCAAATTTGGCTCCATTTCAATTCAGGGCAGGCTGATACAGAGCCCTCTGCTCTTCTGCTCTTGGACCCACAGCAGCGTTCTCCCTGCAGTGGCTGAAGCAGCAGCCCATGGGCCGGAGGACCCTCAGCAGGAAGCACCCTCTAAGGATGGGGATGTCAGCCCAGTTAAAGCAGCTGAAGCAGCCAGCTGCGAGGCACAGCAGTGTAGTGGAATTTAGCCATACTCAAGGCTCAAACCCTGAATGTCCATTTCTCCCCAAATCAGGGCAGTACTGCACCGGGTCCCCTCCTGGTGGGCAGGCTCCGTATCAATCAGCAGACTGGGAAGACTCAGCCAACAGGAACTGTGGCAGGAAGGAGAGGCAGAGACAGGGGTTCTGGCTCCAGACACGCTCCAGGACACTAGACTAACGAAGCAAGCGCTACGCCAGAGGGAGGGGAGGAGGACGCAGTGCCGGTCCACGAGGGTGTCATCGCTGGTTCTCACTGACAAATCACGTGGCCACTCTGGGTCAATTTCCTTGAGTGTAAAGGGAAAGGAACAGTAATTATTATTATCATCTGTGATTTATTGAATACTTCTTGTGTGTCCGGCATTGTCTTGGGGCCATCAGTCATTCATAACAAATAGCTATGAGGTTATCTGGTCCTCATTTGACGGAAGAAGGAAATGAGTATTAGGTGGAGAAGCTTGCCCAGGATTTCCCAGCAGGTAACCAGTGGAGCCAAGATTTGATCCCAGGTTGGTCTGATGCCAAAGCCTGTCCTCTTAATAATTACTGAGAGCTTCTCCAACATTCCTGCCATTCCTAGTTTCAATGACTAACGGCCTCCGACAGGAGCTGTTCATGGCTTCCTCAGCCTGGATGGTAAAAATGCCCATTAGGTCATCTGGGTCCGGCAGGGACTCAGCAAAGGCATGACACATAGCACTGTCGACTGAGTTATCAACACACAAGGGGCCCCAGAGGCGTCTAGAGCAGGTCTCAGCTGGGCCAGGCAGCGTGGGAGAAACACTGGGCCCCCCGCTGTCACCTGCTTTCCCAAAGGTCTCAACTGAGAAGCCCACGTGTACAGTGGAGCTGGAGGAGATTTCAAGCACCGCAAAGCCTCACAGAAAATCCAGAGCCCCAGGCCGGCTCCTCTCTCTAACCTCACCTCCCACTCTTTGCCCCTCATTCACTCCTACTTCTAACTGTTTCTTAAAAAGGCCAAACGCATTCCCACCTCAGGGCCTTTGCTCTTGCTGTGACCCTCTGCCAAAAAGTCTGCTCCTCCTGCTTCGAAGAATCTTTCCCCAGATCTTCACAAGCCTTCCTTCTCCCTGTCATCTGGGTCTCAGTTCATGGTCCCCTCCTCTGGGAGTCCTTGCCTGACCACTCTGTCTAAATCAGTACCCAGATCTGCTCCTCTCCCTTACACTTTCCTGCTTAACTTCCTTTGTGGTGCTTTACACATCCAAAATGACCTTGCTCGCTGCTTGCTTATATGTTTAGAAAAGTACCTGGCAAATGGTTGACTCTCAATGAACGTGGGCTGAATGAATGGACGAATGAATAAACAAATGAACGGAAATTCTTACGAAGTGTTTTTGTAACAACGATCCAGGAACCTGTATTTAAAAGTGCCCCCCTCTTTTCAGTTAACAAGGGCAGAGACCACAAGAAATAACCCTGTGGTTGGTAACAACTTAACAACCAGCTGGCACTGATATCCACACACACTGCTGGGCACGCTTCCAAAGCTAAAAAGGCACTAATTGCTTTTATATAAGGAGGCAGAAATGCAGTCCCTCCGTGTCTTTTAGTCCTGATGGTCTGCATTGTGGTATCTGTTACTGTGTTCGTTGTTTCTGTCTCACAGTTGGGGCTTTCTTCTGCAAACGTCTGGGATGGTGACAGGTCCCCAGACAGAGAAGAGAGGTACTGGGGAAGCACGTGTGTCTGCGTCCATGCGTGTGTGTATCCACGCACGTGTGCATGTGTGTGGCAAAGCAGCGACGCTCCGGGAAGGGTTAACTTGCAGTCAGGCCGCCTGTGCTCAGGGCCCTCCGGCTGGCCTGGGAATGGAAAGGGGTGGGCCTGGAAGGTGGGAGCGGGCTTGGCTCGCATGAGCTGCCCTTTCCAAGACAGGAGTGCAGATGCTTGCCCAGCTGGACTGAGCGTGCTGAACTCAAGTCGCCTTGGGGAATGGCTGCAGAAGCCCACACCTGGACATCACCCCCCGCACCCGCTGCCCCTCCACGGCAGGTTGCATTTGGGAGCCTCTCTGGCCGGTCTTTAGAGGAGTGAGCCGAGAGGGAGCCGTTCGCGGGCTCACCGGCACCTGGTGGAAAGCAGCAGGCAAGGATGGATGTGGTCGACAGCCTTCTTGTGAACGGCAGCAACATCGCTCCCCCCTGTGAACTGGGGATCGAAAATGAGACGCTTTTCTGCTTGGATCAGCCCCGTCCTTCCAGAGGTAGGTGTCAGAGTCTGTTATTTAATTCGGAAAACTCTGAAGTTGGGGGAAGAAATCAGCAAAGGCAAGGCTGATTGAGAGAATATAGCAACGTCTTCGTGAGACAGGCTGGATATAGTCATCTGTTCAGAAGCTTGGGTAAGAGATCAAAAAGCAGAATTGAGTCCAGTCCTCTTATTGTTCCCCATGGAAGAGCTGGGCTTCACGTAGAGGACTTGGGGGCACAAGAGCAGTGGGAGGAGGTGCTGAAGTGTAGCCAGAAGGGAGTACAAGTGTTGGAGCCTGAACTTACAAGCAGCAGAGAAAAGGTGCTGTCACAATCGAGCTGTCGCCTTTTCTTGGGGGAAATCAGTGTGAAAAAGTGATTAAAGCGAAATAATGCTTAGCAGCTACAAAAGAAAGCAGCCCCCTATTCACTAGAGGAGCTTTGTTCTTAAGAAAAAGGGGTTCCCCGAGTGATCCTTTAACAGACTAACCTTTTAGAGGCAACTGAATGGCTCTGCACTCTCCTCACTTTGTTTCTGCAAAATATTGCAAGTACAGGGAGAGCTGGGTTTGATGATGTCCATCCCTGAAAAAAAAAACTAGCAGGAAATCCCCGTTCACTTGGTGGGCTAAGTTTTTAGCATTCTGCTCTCATCACCTCCGTCCCTCCATCTCGTCCCTGTTGCTCCCTGCAGAGTGGCAGCCAGCCGTGCAGATTCTGCTGTACTCCCTAATATTCCTGCTCAGCGTGCTGGGAAACACGCTGGTCATTACGGTGCTGATTCGCAACAAGAGGATGAGAACGGTCACCAACATCTTCCTGCTCTCCCTGGCTGTCAGCGACCTCATGCTCTGCCTCTTCTGCATGCCGTTCAACCTCATCCCCAACCTGCTCAAGGATTTCATCTTCGGGAGCGCCGTCTGCAAGACCACCACCTACTTCATGGGTGAGTTGCGGCTGGTGACTATTTCTGGAGCTCACCCCAGACCCCACTCAGCCACAGAACTTCCCAAACCCCTGACAGCCTTAACAGAGAAGCCCTGTGGGGTGTAAAAAACCAAACATCTGGCTTTGTGGGGCTGACTATGTGCAAGGACACAGGATCTGGCTTTATGGGGGGGTCAGTCCTCATAACTCCTCAGAAGTCAGACCCCAGTTTTAAAGGTCAGTTTCTCAAAGTGGAATAAGTTGGTTAAGAAGTACAAAAGATGTTGCTTTGCTTGCTTCTGTTAGAAAGAAAGACAGATTTAAGCTTCTCCGTCCCTTCCTGGAAGTTGATTGTACTCTGAGCGCCACCCAACCCTAGGCATGGCATGCAGGGTGGCGAGGGTGATGGAAGAAGGCTCTTTCTGCCGTTGCTCTGGCTTTCCTAGGGAACAGTGGCTATTTGAAAACCGGTCTCGTCAGAGATCTAGACTCCCTTCCTAGGATTCACTTCCCAGTGTGTTTTCCCAGGGGCTGGGACCATCTCAGGCAGAGAGACAGACAGACAGACAAACAGACCTTTGCCACTAGATGAGGAATTGAATTTTCTTCTGGGGTCTGTGAGTCACTGAACTGACCCTGACTGGCTGAGATATGTAGCTCTCTGCCTTTGCCAATCGAAATGATGATGACGATAATAAAAATCACAAGAGTACTTCTTTATTTTGAGCACCAGATGTTCTACTAATTGCCTTCAGTTTTCACTTCCATGATCATATTTTATCTCCCCACCATCCTATGAAGTATATACAGTTATTCTTCCCCATTTCACTGAGGAAGAAACAGAGGCACAGAGAGGTTAATAATGTACCCAAGGACACACAGGTGGTAAGCCACAGAGCTGAGACTTGAACCCAGATCAGCAGACACCACAGTGGTGAGTGAGTACACTGCCCCCGACTGCCAACTACTGTGACTCTCTTGAAGCAAAAACAACACATGTCTCTTAGTCCCCTCAGTTGGCTAAAATGCCTTGCCCCTTGCCTGTTCTGAGAACTAGCTAGGGGAGGAGGAGGCCAGGTGGCAAATGAGAGAGGAGTTGGTTTTTGTTCTGATCGAAGACTCGCAAAATCTGCAGAGTTGAGTTGGGCTGGGGCGGTCTTCAATGACCGGAAAACTTTAAAAGCCTTTATTTCTCCCAGTTGAGGAAGCAGGACTCAGCACTGACAAGATGATGATGAATTACTGATCTGCCTGCCACGGACAAATAACCAAGAATGTGTCAATCTGTGTCCAAGTCCTCGGAAAATAAAAATGGTCTCACCAATGAAAAGGATCATTGTTAAATGATGATACAATCGTAATAACTAGCATCTCATGGTGCTTTAGGTTTTCAAGGCCTGTCCATATAGATATCTTATAATAATATTGAATAATCTTAATCAGGGTTTGTGATAGGAGATTTAAAATGAGGGCATGTGTAGTTGCACAACATTATGAATGTGCTAAATGCCATGGAACTGTTCACTTTTAAATGATGAATTTCATGTAATGTGAATTTCACTTCAATAAAAAAGTGTTTTTAAAATAGTTGGGGTCTCAGCTGGGAGCATTAAAACTCTTCCTAAAAACTTCTAGAAAATTAAAAGCAAGATAATTCTGAAAGTGGGTGCAATACTGTAATGATTTTGTTGGATATCTGATTCCAGTGATTTCAATACTTCCCTCAGTTCTGTGTTCTCCCCAAGACTATTTCAATAGTCAACACTCACTAAACTCCTAATACATAGACAAAAAAAAAAAGAATGCCTGTCTGGTGGTGAGCTTAAATTACAGTGGACCCATTGTACAGATTAGACTCTGAGGAGTTTGGGGCTGTCCTGTCTAATTTAAACGTCATGAACTCCTTAGGGTCAAGCCCTATAAAAGACAGCAAATCCTGCCTCAGAACCTGAGTACTTATTTAATGGTTTGGGGGTTATAGATTCCTGTAAATCTCTAAGGAATACAAAGGTTATTCTCCCTAGAAAAAGAACATTTTTATACATAGTTTCAGAAAAGACCCCAGCCTACAAATTTCTCCTCCCAGACTTAGTTTAATTCCAAGGTTTAAGAAATCATGGTAAGAGATAATCATGAATGGTAAGAATTCATGGATGAAGAATTAATGGGAGTTTTAAAGGGATAAGAAATTATGAGGATCCACATGCAAAACACAGAAATCAAAGACAATTAAGCTTTTTTGACTCAGTGTAAGTATATCATTTTAAATGAGGCGTTTTGATGTCTTTCTCACTGATGACGCATGTTCCTTTTACAAAATACAGAAAAGCAGAGACAATGAGAAGGAAGACACTAGTTTTCCCACCCAGAGAAAACTTTAGTTACAATACAGGATTTTCATCTTTTTTTAACTATTTTTTTTCAACACTCCATTTTGAAGTTTAGAATGTTTCACTCTTAAAAATATTGTGTAGTAGAAATTTTCAGGAAGAGATTTAATCCTCCCAGCTCAGACCGCAGTGAACTTTCGGCTCACAGTCCTTGGGAATATTGGGTTGAAAGGTCAACTTAACTATGCAGACCATGCTCAAAATTAAAGATACTCTGCAGGTTACTCAGAAACCTCTTGTGTGGGACAGAAACATATTTCATCTGCTTGGTTATTAATTAATGAGCACCCTCAGCCTCAGAAGAAGTTAGGTTGTAATCAAAGTTCAATAAACTTATCTAAAAATTGGCAATAAAATGTATTTGCAAATACATTTCTTTAACCACCTCAAGTCCTTTTTGGAACAAAGCTGGGAATAAATCATTTTTTAAAAATATACATACACAGTATTTCTTTACCCTCTCAACGTTTTCCTTTGATATCCATCAAGCCTGTGTAGATCAGGTATGCTTAAGCTAATGTGCAAATAAACGTTGGCTTAGAGCCTACGTAACCAGCTTGTTTGTTCCTTTCCCAGGCACCTCTGTGAGTGTATCCACCTTTAATCTGGTGGCCATATCGCTGGAGAGATACGGTGCAATTTGCAAACCCTTACAGTCCCGAGTCTGGCAGACAAAATCCCACGCTTTGAAGGTGATTGCTGCTACCTGGTGCCTCTCCTTCACCATCATGACGCCGTACCCAATTTATAGCAACTTGGTGCCTTTTACCAAAAATAACAACCAGACCGCGAATATGTGCCGCTTTCTACTGCCAAACGATGCTATGCAACAGTCCTGGTAAGGCTGTACGGGTTTATCTGTTTCATACAACTTGATATAATTGTATAGCATTGATAAAAACTGGAATGTATTGTCCAGAGTGTCTGGAGGATCAGTTTCCTGGAGACTTTTTGAGAAGAATCATTCTAACCTCTTTCTGGGATAATAGTGATAGCAAACTCTTAAATGCCATACATATATTCATTCAATCAATCCTCTCAAAACCCTATAGGGTAAGTACTACTATTGTCCCCATTTTACAGATGAGGAAACTGAGACAGGGAGAGGTTGAGCATGTTGTTCAAGGTCCCAAACCTGGAAGAGATGACAGAGCTGCTGGGCTTAACCACCATGCAGTGTGCTTCTGGATGATCTAGTGGGGTTTTGGCTATATGACTTAAAGTATTGTAATTTTCCAGGAATTGGAGACAGAGCTGAAGATGAGTTTCAAATCCCATGTGGTCTTTCTCAGAGCTGTAGCTATGGAACTCACACAGACCACTTTATTAGAGATAAAAAGGCAAAGTTCTAATACCTGTTTCTATACCCACTAGTGGGTGATGTTCCACAAGGTCACACAACCTCCCCGACATTCAAGTTCTGTGTCTACAAAAGGATTTAATGACAGGCATATTTTTTAAATCTACCTCTTATAGATGGATGTAAGAGACAAATGAGAGTATGTTTATGAAAATTCATTAAACAACTTTAAAAAGGCTACACAAATGCAGGGCATTATGTTTACTGCTTCTAATCATGTTTTAGAAGCAGGGAGCAAGACATTCCAAAATGGCTCAAAAAAGGAGATAATCTCTGCTTTATTTGCCTTTTTTTTTTTCATCTCAACCAAGTAACACACAAAAAGAATTATGTTGCAAATGAGGGACATTTCCAACACTTGAAAAGAAATCTTATCAAAACATGTCCTATTGAAATGAGAAATGGCTCAGCCACTGTGAGCCTCTGACAATTTTATGGCCTAATCGTGTAACCTTACACATACCAGACTGCAAAAGTGATTTAGGGGCCAGACTCATAAAGAAGGAGGCTGCAAGGATTCTTCAGGAATCAAACATGTTTAGAGAAAGCATAGCTCTGGCCCGCCAGACACTAGAATGAGCTTGCTACTGTGCCAATGGGTCAGAATAGCCAGAATGCCTTATTTTGCAAAACCAAAGAGAGTTTCCATCACTGCTACCTACACATTTGATGATTCTGTTTTACAAAATCAACAAATGATATATTATGATGCTTAAGAACATAAGTTCTAGAGTCATATTGCTTGAGTTCAAATCCCACCTTTGCTACCAGCTATGTGACTTTGGACAAATAATTTAATCTCTTTAAGTCTCAGTTTCTTCATCCATTAAGTGGGTATTATGTTAATGGTACCTATCTCAAAAGTTGTTATGTGAATTAAATGTAGTAATATATATATACTATATTGACATTTAATGTCATCAATGAGTGTAAGCTCATTTATTATTATTACTATTATTATTATTATTATTATTATTTTGGTAACAGCTTTATTGAGATATTCACATACTCTCATTGGTTTGGATTTTCTTAAGCTCTCATTAGTTTTTTGGGTTTTTTTTTAAGATTTTTTTGTTTTGTTTTCTGGGTTTTTTTTTCCTGTTTTGTTTTTGTTTTTTTGGTTTAAAGTGGTCCTTAGGTTTATTTATTTATTTATTTAAATGGAGGTACTGAGAATTGATCCCAGGACCTCGTGCATGCTAAGCATATGCTCTACCACTGAACTGTACCCTCCCCATCTCATTAGATTTAAATGTAGACTTGCTTCAGGCACAGACTTACACCAAAGTTTCCCAATTTAACTAGCCCCTCGTAAGAGAATTTATCTGAAAGAAAGAAAAGAAGTAAACAGCGTCTAATGACTGAGACTCCAGACATGGAATTTCCAAGGCTATTAAATACTCATAATTAATGTGTTTGCTGAGACCCGTTAAGATGGAGATGAACTCTATTTATTCCACCCCAAATACTGGAGCTGCTGGTGATTGGATTGCTTTTTATTTTATTAGGCACACGTTCCTGTTACTCATCCTCTTTCTGATTCCTGGAATTGTGATGATGGTGGCATATGGACTAATCTCTTTGGAACTTTACCAAGGAATAAAATTTGATGCTAGCCAGAAGAAGTCTGCTAGAGGTAACTATCTTTTAGCTTCATGTTTACGCCAAAAGATTACCACGGCTTGTTCTCTGTAACTTAAATAGATAGACCCAGAGTGTGCATAGAGTATATTCAAGACTTTACAAGGTATTCTTAGGAGGCCCTGTGTCATAAGGTACAGTCATGAGACCCAGTGTCTCTATTTCCTCATCTGTCAGATGGGAAAATTATTCCTCTCAAAAGAGTGCTGAGTGGGATAAAATGAGGTAATGCACACATCGGCCAATTACAAGCTGAGAGCCCATGGGTCCCAGGCATTCTGTGATGTTGCATCCAAATGGACCCCCTTCAGCAACCAAAGCAAATTGTAACTGCAGCCCCCAGACTCTGTCCTCGCCTTCACTCACGCTGCACCTGCCACAAAGACCCCATCTCTCCCCAACAGTTACAAGCCACCCTCCCCTGAAACCTACATGACACCTTTGTTGGCATAGCTCCTCCCCCTTCTCACTCCACCCCTCTCCTCAGTCCTTTTTCAAGTATACACCTTACAGGTCTTCTTAGGTCTTCTTTGGTTGTTGTTGATTTTTGCTCATTATCCAGAGTCTTCACAGTAAAAATAGTCTGGAGATCTACCAAGTGAACAGGAAACTCCCCCTTGAAAAGCTGGAGAAAGGAGGAGGAGCGTAAATATTCATTCTTTGATAATTTTTAATCCTTATAACCTACATACATGAACTATTATTTTACCATTATAAGTTGTATTATGCCCATCATATACGATACATCATTTTATTAGTTTTAAGCAGGTGTTGAGTCGCAGGAAGGGGTTCGTGTAGACAATACCTGCCCCATCAGTGTGTCCCAAGTTGCCCCACCCAGGTCTGCAGTTCACATTTGGTTCGGCTCCTTGATGGAGGCGGCAGGGGTTCCATGCCTTCTGCCTGACGTGACCCATCCCGAAAACTAAGTGATGTCGCTCGCCCACCCAGAAAGGAAGACGAGCGCCGACAGCTGCAGCAGATACGAGGACAGCGACGGCTGTTACCTGCAGAAGTCCAAGCGCCCGAGGAAGCTGGAGCTGCAGCAGCTGTCCACCAGCAGCGGCGGCAGGGTCGGCCGCATCAGGAGCAGCAGCCCCGCCGCCAACCTGATGGCCAAGAAGCGCGTGATCCGCATGCTCATGGTCATCGTGGTTCTCTTCTTCCTGTGCTGGATGCCCATCTTCAGCGCCAACGCCTGGCGGGCCTACGACACCGCCTCGGCCGAGCGCCGCCTCTCCGGGAGCCCCATCTCCTTCATCCTCCTGCTCTCCTACACCTCCTCCTGCGTCAACCCCATCATCTACTGCTTCATGAACAAACGGTTCCGCCTCGGCTTCATGGCCACCTTCCCCTGCTGCCCCAACCCCGGTCCTCCAGGAGCGAGAGGCGACGCGGCGGCGGAGGCGGAAAGCAGGACCTCGCGGGCCTCTCTGTCCAGGTGCTCGTCCGGCCCCGGCCACGCGAGCGCCTCTGCCCCGCCCCCGTGAGCTGCGCCCGGCAGCCGGGGCGGAAGGATGGAGCGGGGGCTGAGGGGGAAAGCAGAGGAGGAGGGAAAGAAGAAAGCCGGAGGAGGAGGAGGCAGGAAGTGGAGGAGGAGGCAGGCACCATTCCCGGCGGGAACAGCTTAACAAGTCCACCTGGCATCCTTCATCCGGGTTCCAGGGGAAGACTTCCAGGCTGCGGCCATGGCTAAGGCCCCACCTTAGTTCCTAGCAGGACATTTTCAATAACATTCACCATCAGAAAAACCTCAGCAGGCCAGTAACAGGTGTCCAGCAGGGCTCCTGCTGCTGCTGCTGCAATTGCCAAGCACGTGTTCAAAGAGGGATGTGGACCCTCCTGAGCTTTAGAAGGTTCCGGCACATCCAAAGTGGGCTCTCGTTCCCCACAGAGACAAGCTTCTGTGCTCTGCTACTTCTGTGGATGCAGAACTGTGGAGGCTGCTTTGCCCCTGGGGAGTCCATCACTCTCCTGTACATTTGGTAGCCACCCACCTCGTCAGGACCACAAACAGGAACAGGAAGCAAACCCTCTTCTGGCCATTTTCTGTAGAAAGAGAAGAACCTGGCTTGTTCTCCTTGAGGTCGGTCAAGGACATTCAGAGACACAAGTTTATGTTGTCATCAGAAGAGCATACGGAACATCATCTCAAAGATGGAATTTGGAACTTATATTTCTGAAAAACAAAAAGGTATATAGCAAGTAGCTAGAAGGAATGCTGTCTTAGCACAAGGAATGTTAAATGCCAGAAGGGGCATAGAAATGTTTTTCTTATTTTAATAATATATATTACTTAACTCCACCTTTATATGGTGATATTATAGCCCATGGCTTCTTTGCTGCAACTTAATTTCTTACACTTACCATCTTTTCTGGAAAGGCCTCCAGGTACAAAGGAGAAGTGTACCCTAGGTGTACCTGGCCAAGATGGAAACACGTGGAATCGGGCCAGAATAAAAACTGGCATACTTGGACTCAGTTAACAAATAGCTTTTGAATGTCAACTTTGTCTATGCCTTTTAAATACAATCTGTGTGTTTGTTAATAATTGTCATAATTTTATGGTTATGTGTAAAACGAACAAAGAAGTATGTTCTTTCCGTGTAAGTATACTCTTTGGTGTGCTTCAAAAAAGAAAAAAGAGCAGTGAATGGAGGTTGGAATTCACAGTGTTATCGTTCCACATTCCTCTACAACAGTTGGAGTTTCATGTGAACTTCTTTTCTTTGCAGAATTAGTGTTGAAATCTCTCTCCTCCAATGTAGAAATCTCAATTTAAAATAAGACATGAGCTGTGCATTTAGATACCAGTAAGTGCATTTCTAGAATAGAATGTGTCAGTCCAGTCTACCAGCGCCCCCTTCTCTCTCTGTCTCTCCATCTCTGTCTCTCTGTCTCTGTCTTTGTCTCTCTCTTTCATAGTTTTCATGCCTCCAAGTGTCTGGGAAATGAGCTTTTCTTTTTCCTGTTTTCATGTGTCCACAACCACCCATTGATCCATGCCTGACTGATATTCTTTGTTAAGCACAAGTGCTGGTGATTTCAATTCTCAAACATATCCATATGGAAGGGGGAAGGGGCAGAATAGTGGCAAGAAATGATCATGAAGAGGGGAAATGATGTTGTATAATTTAACAAGATGCAAGTGTCACCATTTGTGGGGTTTTTTTGGTGGGGGGAGCGGTGGAAGAGCCATGTGCTAACAGAGAAGAAATTATTGAAGCTGTGACTATTTATTATAGGGGATTTTCAAGCCAGGTGTTAGTTTTTTTTGTTCCTAAGATTGTAGTCTACTTTTACTGTTTATAACCAGTCATCTCAGTCAAAAATTTCAAGGGAAAAATTCAACCAACTAAAATGTGCACTGCTAAAATGGGAAAGATAAAAGGTGTAAGAAATGAAAATGTCTCCAATATTTGAGTAAATCCTACAAAACCTACAATTTTTCTACCAAAAGAAAAAGCCTTCCCCTCTGACAGTGTCAGCATATAAATGAAGAAAAATGTGGTCCCCCTCCCAATATTGGGAACCTCTGGAAATGCCAAACATTACATTAACCTAAAAATAGGGTTGCCAGATTTAGCAAATAAAATACAGGATGTTCAGTTAAATTCTACTTTCAAATAAACAACTAATAATTTTGTTTTAGTATGAGTATGTCCCATGCACTAAAATACATCTTGTATTTTATCTGGCAATCCTACTTTAATTTTAAAAACATGTAAGGATATAAACAAGCCTTCCCAAATATAGAGCAATAACATGCCTCTGTTCACTAAATTTATTGGAAAGTCTTTCACGTAATGGAAGCTTTAAAAAAAGAAAAAGAAAAATGCTGTTAACTTCAGAATCTGTGCCTGACCTTTGGAAATCGTACTATCCACAGAGTGATTTTGCTTTAAAAGAATTTTTTTTAACATAAAGCTATTCTAGTACTTTGTCGAGTCAAAAGCCTTTATTTCATGCTAAACTGAATTATTGACTTAAATCTGAAATAAAGTGACCAATAGAGTTAAGAAAACAGATTCACCACATTCCTGGTGTTTTCTAGTATCTTTTGGTAGCTTCCACGCCTCTCCAGGGTGAAATGTATCTTTGATCTTTACTTAACCCATGTGCTTCAATGGCTTCTCATGCCCCAGTTACTGCAGCTAACGCTCATAATAAATTTGTACTAGTGAATAAGGAATGCATGTGTCTAGATGCTGGTTATACGTGTTCATGTCTGTATCTTATCCATGCACGTAAAATGTAATCACGAGACGAGTGGCTGGAGCTGTCGACCCTTCCAGTGTTTTGCCCGGTACTCTGTACACCATGAGTCTCAATAAATGCCATGACTGACTCCTGTTCCGCTCCTGTGCTTTGGGGAACTCTCTTTCTGGCCACAGCAGGGGGTAAGCTCTTGGGGGAGTTCCAGAATATCTGGGGGGCTTTTTCCAACTCTGTGTGTATCCCCACCCCAGACCTGGCTGTGTGAGCACTGGCGACCCTCTCTCCCTCCCCTGGGGGTGTGAGTGCGTGAGTGCATATAATCTGAGGTGTTCCCCATGGGAAGCTGTTGTGCCTGTGAACGATGCTAAGACAGATTTTTTTTTTTTTAAGGACAGGGTAAAAGGACAAATACTGTATGATTCCATTCCTATGAAATATCTAAAATTGTCAAAAATTATAGAAACCAAATGTAGAAAGATGACTTCCAAGGCTGGGGACTTAGTGTTTAGTGAATATAGAGTTTCAGTGTTTCGAGATGAAAAATTTCTAGAGATCGCTTGCCCGACTATGTAAATACACTTAACGCTACTGAACTGTACACTTAAAAAATGGTTAAGATGGTAAATTTAACATTGTTTCTAACAAAATTTTAAAGAGAGGAAGGGATGTTAACCACTGGTCTATAATATCCCTCGGTTTTGCTCCTTTCCGCCATCATTCCCTTTAAGAATAGTGAGAACCGTCAGCACCTCATCCAAGCTCAAGTCCTCATTAGGGCTGATAGGTATTATCAAAGCCCACGTGGTGCCCTGAGCTGCCCCCCCCACACCTGTCTGCTCTCCGGCAGGACTCCCCTGGGACAGCCTCTGAGCATCCTTAAGAGCCCTCCCCGACCTGCCCTACATCTGAGCCCTGTGGCTGGCTCTCAGCTCCAGCCAAGGTGCTTCCTCGATTTGGGTCCCTCTGGCCCCTCCAGCTTCTGAGTCACCCTTAAGTGAAACACAGATTCCAGCTTGCCTACACCTGCTGCCACAGCCGAGGGCCAGCCCCACAACCCTATACCTGACCCCAGCTCTGAGGAGCCTGGCCTCGGAGGAATTTCAGATCCTCCTTCTTGCCCAAGAAGAGAGGTCAGACAAGGATAAATTGTCCAGCACCCACCCTTGTGCGTAGCACATAACAGGGGCTCAGGACGTGTTTGGGGGTGAACGACAGAGTGAACGGACGAGTATGTTTGAATGGAGTCCTGCTTCAGTGCTGGCTTTTCTGGGTCCCCTGGGAGATGGCACCATCCTAACCAGAGGCATCCTGTGCAGAGTGCGGAGGGCTCCTGACAAGAGCTGAAGCTGGCTGAACAGCCACACCGTTTCCAACTCTCTACGCTGTACATGAAGTCCGGCAAATCCTGCTTTCAAGTTTGCTGACCGCAAGCACCTCCTCTGTGGGTAAAGAGGATGTACCTTGGACCCCAAGTCCAGAAATCTGTGTCCCAGTCTTAGCCCTGTCTCTGACTTGCTGTGTGGTTCCAGGCAAGTCACGCACCCTCTCTGAGTATCAGTTCCCTTGTTCAGCATGAGGGGTTGTCACTCCATCTCTGGTACCATGGGACTCCGTGGGTCAGAATTGGCTATGTGCTTTTATTATTCCACATTCTCCTTTAGTTTCATTGGCTTCCTGTCATCTTTGCAATCAGAGAAGCTCCCAAGCAGAGAACCACCTCTGAAGAGGGCTTGATCTTCAGGGAACCTCTAAGAGAAGGGAATCAGGGTGAGAAAAGAAAGGTCTCAGAGAGGAGTCTGCAAGCTCTCAGCCCCTTCTAGGTCACAGCTGCCCAGAGCACCTTGTGGGAAACTAGTCCCTGGAACATGAGCCCCATTTTCATTGAAATGTAGGCATAAAAATCCACTCCAAAACCAAATTTGGCCTGAGAGGGGTACCAACATTCAGTAAAGCCTGCTTCATGCATCAGGCAAGTTGCTGGTGACGGCAGGAGCCAATAAACTCTCGCAGAAGGATGGATGACTGTCCGGAGCATGTGGGGTTAGAGGAGGATGTTAAAAAGCCGTTTCTGCCGTTGACCCCTGAGCTGGACCTGGGTAATTGGAGGCTCCCCTTCCCCTCTTCCATCCTTGGAATGTGCTTAACACTTGCCTTCCCCACTCGCAGGAGCTGCTCCAAGGGTACAGCTTTGAGGTGGGAACGTGGTGCTGAGGCTGCTGAGCTGTGCAGGGGACTGAACCC